ACAGCTACCGGCAAACTGTGAATGTGCAAAGAAGCTAGCCTTCGAGAAAGAGGTGAGAGAAGAGGGGGGGGGGGGAGAGAAAGAGAGAGAGAGAGAGAGAGAGAGAGAGAGAGAGAGAGAGAGAGAGAGAGAATGAGAATGAGAATATCATTCAGCTTTATAAAGGAAGATTCTAATACAGGCTATGAAGTAAGACAGTCACAAAAAGATAAATACATGAGGTACCCAGAGTCATCAAACTCAGAGAAAGAAAGTGGGGTGGTGGTTGTTGGGCACTGGGGAAAGGGAAAGGGAACATGGTGAGTTGTTTAATGAGATACAGTTTCAGATTTGCAAGATAGACAAGTTCTGGAGATGGATGGAGGTGATGCTTGTACAACAACATGAATAGACCTAAGGCACAGCATTTCATATTTCCATGTTGTTCCAGTAGCAAATTTTAAATGTGCATTTGACCACAAAAAAAAGAGAAATAAATCTGGAAAAACCTTCCAGAGCTTATGACTGGAGTGAGAAGCAACACTGCCCTCATGTTTTCCCACAGAGACCCCCTTGATGAAAGTAAACCACCAGCTGAGGGTCCCCAGGCTCCCACTGTATGCACATGCCCGTCCCACAAGGAAATACATGGATGCCACAAGCAATTCACCATGCAGATGGTCATAAGAGTGCCACTCTGCCTCAGAGCACAGTGCATCTGAGGGGTGGGGGTATGAGGGAGGTAAGTAAGGCTTGTCACAAAAGACGAAGCCAGCTGGGAAGGTGGCCTCAGAGAAGGACTCATCCTCTCTACCAGCAGGATTACCCTGGGCAGAACAGGGGTCACTAACACCTATTTCTCTTTGGCCAGGTAGAGGGAAAGTTTGGCCTGAAGGTCATGGCCTTGCCCAAGGTAGCCTATGTAACCCTACTAATGTCTGAGCCTCCCTGATCTTCCCCTCCCAGTCCTCCTCTAGAGCCCAACGTGAACAAAAAGCCACCTGTATACCTTATCTCTTATGAGGCTCATGATCTTCCACCTCTTCCAACATACAAGTCGAGAGCCACCAGGCCGCTCCCTGTGCCTTCTTGTGACATCTAGCTTCCTTCTCGGCATTCAGGCCCCTGTGGCTAGGGCCCATTCCCCTAAGCAAACAAGGGAAAATACAGCCTGGGCTAGCCAGAGCTCTGAACCAGCCCTAGACCAGGAGATCTTGGCTGCTCCTAATCCAAAGATTCTAGGGAGGAGGCATGGCATCTCCCATCCCCATCCCCATGACTATGACCCTTTCAAATCCTTTCCATCTGGCACTCTCCCTTGAATCTATGTTGTTTATACATTGGTCTCTCCTATTCACTCCCTTTATGTAAGTGATAGGATCAACCTATGACCTGAACCCCATGTTCAGCACCTCTTCTTCCCTTGCCTTCTCCCAAGTCCTCTCAGCCCTGATTCCATCCACAGAGCCCCTCCCCTTCTCTCACAATGATTGCCTAAACTTGCCATTTCTACTTCACTTCTCACTTGCTTTCTGGGTTTTTCTCCATTAAGCATCCATTCCCAACAAGCTAAGGGGACTAGCCCGACCCAACCCTACTCTTAGGTAGAGGTAGGGACTAATCAGACCATATTTCCCTCCAGTCTCTTACAGATATTTGCAGACCACAGTCCTGTCCTCTTAGTTGATTCTGGGATCCCTGGTGCTATAGGGAGAGAAAACTATCCCATCTGAGTTTGCGAGCAAACTCCTGGAAGTCCAGTTTGGAATATGACAGGCGCTTAGGAACTTATAGCCCTCAGGCATCACAGGGCTAAGGTACATCCTCCCCGACCCCACCCCCTGCATCCAGTGAATACACTTAAGGTGCCTTTCCCTCCACACCTCCCCACATCCTCTAGATTTCTTCCCACCTCCCCACAGTGCAAGATGACTCCCTCTTCCCCTTCCCCAAATGCATTAAAGTAAGCTTTCTTCCTTTTCCAGGCGGTCCCAAGTCACCCTCTCCCTTAGGGCCCTGCAACACTACCTGTGGCATTAAATAAATCTTGTGACCACAAAGAACAATCTCTGGCTCACTGTCCTGTATCTTATTCCAAGCCTTTCAAATGCTACCTGGCATTGTAACCAGGAGCTTTCTACACCTGTCACCTTTTTCCTTAGGGATAGCCTCATCCTAGATCACCCTGAGCTGGTGCACCCCAAAGCTAGGCAATGTTGACCACTCTTCAGCTACCAGCCCCAGGCTGAAAAGTCCCAGATTGCTATTTCTAGCCAAATCTTCTATCCTAATCTCTCACCTCAAATTCAACCTTGTTCATGATAAAATACCTCCAAGGCCCAAATGCTCTATTCCTCTTTTTCTCAGCCAGTGGCTCTGCTATCTACCCCAGCACCCAGCGTTAAGACCAGATAAGCCTGGATTCCCCACCTCCTGCCTCTTCTTCCCTACCTCCTGCCACCCGCTAGCTCCTGTCATTGTTCCCCACCTGCCCTGTGCAGTTCCACCATTCCCCACTCCTGTCCTTCAGTTCAGACCCTTTTCCAACATGCACACCCTCCCTGAGGCTCACACTTGCCACTCTCCACACCAGTCCACTCTGCATGCAGCAGCTTGGGCTGTTCCTCCAAACACTGACCTGAACGTGAGTCTCTCCTACACTTGGGTGGCCCCAATCTTTAGGTAAAGTTCCTACCCCCCAGAATTTGTTCTCCTCTTTTACCCTACACTATCTATTTTCCCACCCACACCTTTAAGGCTCCTGCAGTCCGGGCTGCAGCTATATCAAACTACATGACCTCCCCAAAGAGAGTTAATGTACCTACCTCCTGGCTTTGTACCTGCTGCATCCACTGGTGACTTCTCCAACCCATCCCCACCCAGCCAGCACTTCTTCCCTCTCTAATCAAGGTTTGCCCTTTCATGAAGCCTCATGCTGAAGGGTGACACTAGCTGGCCCTTCACTTCTTCAGGGATCCCTGCAGAAGTCTATAGCATGGATGCTCATAACATTTGTCTGCTATGACTAAAGGCTCCCAAGGGAAGAATCAGATCTTTTTACTATTTATTTATTTATTTATTTATTTATTTATTTATATTTTGGCATTTGTAGTTCTAGAACACAATGTCAAAGGTTTTCACAGGCCTTCAAAAACACTTGCTGGGAAAACAGATTTCTGGGTGGAGTGTGGATGGCTTTTTTTGAAGAACCTTTTGTGTCCCTCACCCACCCATTATATAAAGATTTCCCTCTATCCCCACTCAGCAAATTGGGCCCAGATCAGGCTTCATGAGCACTTTCTTACAACCCTCAATAGATAATCCTTACGCTTCTGGAAGGTTCTTGAGGCACAAAGTAAGCTATTTTCCATTAAGGTTTAATTCTGATTTCTCCAACTAGACTCATCATTCTAAGAGCAGAGGCTGATTCTTCTTGAGTACCAGCTGTCATATTATTGGAAGGTAGTATGCAAGTTTCCAGGGGTGAAAAGCAAACATTATTCCTACCCAGCTGTAAAGCTTACCAACCACAACAATAACCAGCTCAGCAAGATATCCCTAATAGTGCAACAGTGGTACTTTTATCTTTGAGAAAATAACAGCTGTCTAATTGGACTTAAGGCCTGCTCAATAGGAAGCAATTCATGCCTGGTACAATAAACCTAGCCAAATACTCATGGTCAGAGTGGTCATAGACCCTAAAGGAGAACCTACTACTTCCATTTCCCTAAGCCAATGTAATTTCTAATTATTCTAAATACTGATCCTTATACCCATAGATAAGTGTAGGTCTCACCCCTCATCAAAGAACCTTCTTTTTGCAATAGATAGGGACTATTATGAGGAGCCACAACTGGTCAAAATGCAGAGAATAAGTGACTATGGGGTGTCTAGCACCAATTGATACATTTATAATGCAACCTGTACACCTAAGCCTCAGGGAATATCACAGAAGAAGAGGCAGAAATACGTAAGAGCTAGACGCCCAGGATGCCTACTGCTAGATAGTGTCTTCCAAACAAGACAGAGTAGCTGCACACATGAAATCTCAACTGTATGGTTGTATAAATAAAACCAGCATGATGCCATCCCAGTTGGCAGGCTAACATGGATGGGGGGAATTTCACCCCTAGATGAAGCACTCGGGCAATCAATGGCTTCTGACAGAAAATCAGTTTTCTCCTGGGATGAGCTCCCCGACAGGTTATCCAATCCCAAGTGGTCAGCCCTAAACACATGTACCACTAAATAGACTAGCACCACTAAATAGACTCAGTAGGTTACATACATATATATATATATATATATATAAATATATATATATATAATCTTTGAGCAAAGTTCTGTTCCTCAGTTATCCTCTCTTGCTCCCCCCTCAACCAAATTACTTCTTCCCAACTCCCCCTCAAATTTTCTTTTTTCTTTAACAATAATAATTAAAGGAGATAAGAAATTGAAAAGGAATGGGAGGAGTGGGAGGGGAGAAAGGGAGGGTAGAAATAATGTAAATACAGTACTCATGTATGAAACTCTAAAAAAAAAATTAAAATTTTAAATTAAAAAAGAGCAGGAGTTGATCCTCCTTTGTGGGACTTGCATGTACCAAAGATCTTGGGAAGGGTGGTCATGAGTGGTCCCATCACTGAGCAGATCCAGACTTGAACGTCACAGTAGGTAGAATCAAGAGAAACACTCTCCCATCCACTGCACCTGCTCTCAGGATCACAGCTGTGTGCCCCATCCCCCAAGCCAGCTGCCTCCTCAGGAGATGAGGATACCCCACCTGCTTCCAGACTCCTCATGAAGAAATCTGAACCCATCAATGTCAGGACCCACACTGGACTCACCATGTTCATGACAGTGAGGATGAATCTCTGAGCAGCCTCTGCCCCGTGGTACTGCACCATGTCAGCATCGGCCACCACCAGGGTCTCCACTGTGTGCTCATTGGTGAGCCTGATGGCATTCCTTCGCTCCCTCCAGTCCCGCGATGCCTTGCCCTTCCGAAGCTTCTCTTCTAGAAAATGATGGAGACATTTGTGCAGTTCTCAACTTACTGATTTATGAAAGCACACCGTGAAAAGCTTTCCATTGAGCAGAGAATGTTCAACCTCAACTTACCAATGTATGTAGATTTCCATGGTCACATGGGATAGCCTGAGTTCCCCAGTCAGGGATGATTCCATATGGGAAGCAGGAAAGAGTTTGGAAGGCCAGACAACAAATGGGGCTCTCCCTGTTCACACTCACAGCGAAGGAAATACCTGAGGCTAAAGTCAGGGAACAGGAACCTGCTCCTCAGAGCAATGACAGACCTAGATAAAAGGTATTCCCCTTCCCCTAGTGACATCTGGAACCAAAGAAATAGGTTGGGATGAGGCCAGGATGTTTCCTGTGGGGCTAGTATTCCAGCAACTGTGTCCAAAGTTAAGAAGTTGGAGCCATAAACACTGAAAGGCATAAAAAAATTATTGAAAAAGAAATACAAAATAACGGGAAATGGGCAACAGGTCCCAACCTTAGCCAAGGAACTGATTACTGTGGGGTGAGAGAGAGTTGATCTTTAAGAGTGACTGTAGATAGGCTGACTATACTCCAGTGAATGAACTTGTACTGAGGGACATCTGGGTACAAACGCTTGACTGGATAGGCTTTACTATATATAACAGAATTCATGAACTCTCATGTATGGGAGGCTGAGGATAGGGGAGGGAGTCTAAACTTGATTAATATCTATGATATGAAATACACAATGAAATCAATAAAATATATACATAGAAAAGGAAAAGCATAGTAAGGAAAAAAAAAAAAAAACATGACACATACCCAGACTAAGATGTCAGCTTACATTTTTTTCAAAGCAGGAAGGGGTAACTGGTGAACTGCTGACTTTTTAGATGAGTCATTTCTCCATCAGATCTTACTTTTACAAAGAGTTCTTATCGTCACTTATGGCACCCAAATCTGACAGTTGAGGGCTGCTGAATGAGGGCTGAAATTGTCTTTGCATATGGAAACACCTCTGACCAACGTGGCAGGTGGGTATGAATGGAATGTACTTTGGGAATCCAAATGTGAATAGCAAGGCAGTTCTTTGATACTTATTATTTCCAACTTAGGAGCAACCTACATGGAAAGGCCTCTACTACACTGTCCATGTAGTCAAACACCATCTACATGTGCCCAATGACCTATCATTCCAGAAGCAATAAGAGATACTATGAATACTGAAACAGTAATGCTGCTCAATGTAATCTATACTCTTAAGAAACTGGGAAGCAGTGGAAATATCCAAATGTAGAGAAAGCTAGCAATGGTAAGAGGGATATAGCCATGAAAATCCTATCTGGGACGATTCAGTAACACAGACAGAGCTACAGACCTGTATATATGGTTAGGTCCCAATTTTGCAAAAACACAATATGAGCAAGTACTTTCTGGGATATAAATAAATAAATGACAGAGAAAGAATTAAAATGTTAATGGTGGGTGATAAGTGGCATTTATTTTCCTTTCTTCCCCAGTATTTTCCAAATTTATACAATGAACAAATAGTACTTTATTATTTATTTATTTATTTATTTAAAGAAATCTCTGAGTTTGAGAAAATACAGAAGTCACTTTTAAACTCTAAACAAAACAGAAGGAAAAGGGAAGTATAATACATCACCTGATTTATCATAAAATTGCAAAATGTAAGACATGAACATCTCCCTACCCCAAAGAATGGCCCAGTTCCAGCCATTCTTCTGAGCTTCACAGAGGAACGAGGAAGGACAAAGGGAGAGATCTAGGATGGCAGCACCTTTGTACACGGGCAGAATGAACAAGACCCCTAGCTGAAAAATCTCCAGACACTTACCCACACTCAACAACACTAGGAAGACAGAATAAAGATGATGTTCACTTTCTGGTCTCCCTGTGCTTGCCAGGGCCTCATGGCTTGGATATGAGCAACTTGTCTCATCTGGAATTTGTAAAGAGCCACCTTGTTTTATTTTAAAACAGCAGACTTGAGCTTGTACTTTCTCCAAGTACAAACTTTGCTGGAAACCTGCACAGCCCTACTCCCAGGTGAACAGCTACAACTCACACAGTCGCCTCAGCTCTTCTCCGTGTCAGACTTTAAAATTCAGCTCCTAGCATCACCAACCTGTATTCTCACCTGTAGCTGCTCCCACTGGCTCTTCACACCTTTTTTTACACCTTGTCATAGTACAGAAAGAGATGCATTTTTAGTGTAGCCTAGAAGATGCATTCATTTGTTGCTCCAATAGCCTGAGAGACCTGAATGCCAAGAAAGTAGCCTGCCCCTCCAGACAAAAGCAGCAGATGCCTTCGGGACAGTTAACATCATGATCCTCCATTGGGTATCAGTCTTCCAAGTCTACCCACTAGAAATCACAAGACTTGTTTCTCTCCCCATAATGGATCTGACGGAATTAATGTAACATGATGCAATGTGCTGGATGTGGTGGCCTTGGCTTGTAAGCCTAACTCCTTGGGAGTCTGAGATAGGAGGATTGCTTGCACTCAGGTGTTCAGGACCAACCTGGGCAACACAGCAAGACCCTGTCTCTAAACAAAATCCAGAAGCAGGAAAAGCTGTGCATGAACATGGGCCCTGGGAGTACTAAGAAGCAGATAAAGTGCAATGAAGACATAAAGGGTCGCCTAAATGTTATATTTTACAATATTCCAATAATGATTTGTTCCAAAAGTTTGAGGATTGTTAAAAATGCTGAGAAAATGCATAAATGGGGGCTCAAAACATGGCTCAGATGGTAACAGGACTGCTGTGCAAGTATGAGACCTGAGTTCAAATCCTACAAACCCATATTAAAAGCTGGCCACGGTCACATGTGTGCCTGTAACTCCAGCACTATGGGAAGAGGGAGAGGAGGGACAGGAGAATTGCTGGGACTTGATGACCATCAGCCTGGCTCCAGGTTCAGTGAGAGATCCTGTCTCAATGGGGTAAGAAAGTGATAGAGCAGGATACCCAATGTCGTCCTCTAGCCTCTGCATATACATATAGGCACTTGTACCCCCATACATATATACCATGCTCTCACACGTGCACATACTAATACTTTGTGGTCAATGTAGTTACTAGTTTTGTTCTTGGCAAATACAAAAATCTCAATTATGAATTATGGAATAGATACTCCTTTAGTTTAAAAACCACAGTATTCAGGCTGTGGGTGTGCTCAGGCTCAGTAGTAGAAGGTTTGTCTGACATGCTTGAAGCCCTGGGTTCAAGCAGAGAGAGAAAGAGAAAGACAGACAGAAACAGAGAAAATTTAAGAACTTTCTGGAAAAATATATAGATAAAAGGGTATTTGATGTGAAATTCTTCCTTGAGTTCCTCTACCTCCTGCTACACAAGACCCTCCTGTCCCTGATTTCACTAATGCCATTTTCAGGGATGGCCTCAATGTGCTCTTTGTGCCCAGGCACAGGAAAAGTATGCCTTTTCCCATTACAGAAGCAGATCAGAGGGCAGAGAAAGCAGTGTGGAAGAAATAGAGGCAGATTCCCAATAGCAATGGGTAACCTCAAGTGACTAGGAGAGGGAACTGAAGTCAGGGCTGCAAAGGCCAGTGGCACTGCAAGGAAACGCATTTCTGAGTCCAACATAGCCACAGTTAACTAAAGAAAGACATTTAACTTGATATCAGCCTTTCCCACATCAGCATTCCAAGGACAGGAACAAGAACACATCCTTACTGTGGGACATGGGACAGTGGTCAGTCAAAGCCCTGAGCACCACAACCAGACATTGTCTGAGCCACAGCAACTCTAGATTTTCTCCAGCTCATTTGAGAGCAAGGAGAAGGAATTCCAGCAGAACCCTAATAGCAATATGGTAAGCTACAAAGAATTCACCTGAATTCAGAGGAAGACCACCTGTCCCTTAGTCTCACCTCACAGCAACATAGAGTTGGAGACTGTACTGACCCAGGCAAATCAGTGCCAGCAGGTGGACTGCTAGACAAGAGACATAGGGGCACGGAGGAAGAAGACCCTGAGTGAACCTCCTTATGTTTTGACCACTTTGCATGTAAGATTTAAGGTGACTTATAGCACTCATTGTCATTTAGACCCTCCCTCGTGCCTTCTCTACTATATCTGACTGAAATCCTCTGAAACCATGAACCAAAATAAATCTCACTGAGGCCTCCTCCTGGTGCCTCAAAGGTACCACTGGTTATGTGCCTTTCATCTCCCAGCCTCTTTCTCTGTACTCCACTCTGATGCTGTGACAAAACACTGCCAGAGAGGAAATTTTGCCTGTATTTTGAGTCACTAACAGATGCCAATCAGCGAGGTGCTAGTGTTGGAAATGTCCAACATAAGCCACAGATGTGCTAGCCCAGCACTCCTGCATCGCACAACCCAGGACCTCATCTTTCACTTCATAGTCAAGATAAGCACTGGAGAGGGGGTCATGGGCCAGGCAGGGGACCAGCAGCAGTACCCTGGTGTGGTGTAAAAGTCTGCACACACATTGCTTACATGCACAGTGCTCTCAATAAAAATGCCAGCTCCAAAAACCATTTTTAAACCAAAGCAGGGAGCCTGTTTATAGAAAACTACCCTTTTAACTAGAAATGATAACCCCACATATGCAACTGAACTCCCAGCCAGGTAAAGTTCCTGGCAGCTGAATAATTCCAACATCCTTGAAAAATAATAGCTTTTTCTCTCGCTCTTTTTTTTTTTTTTTTTTTTTTTTTTTTTTCAAAAGGGGGGTCTTCCTGTAGCCCCAGCTGTCCTGGAACTCACTATGTAGACCAGGCTGTTCTCCAAGTATGAATTCTTTAAATAACTTCTCCAAGGCCAAGTCATTTTATAAAAGGCATCTTTTTTCATGTAAAGGGCTGCACCACAGGACCTTCCCAGTCATGCTCAGAGTCACAGATACACTGGGCAGTGAAACCACTACCTACAAGCAAAATCAGAAGATATTCAGTGAACAAACATTTATCAAAGATCTACATGCACTAGGCACTG